AAAAAGAAAGAAAGAATTGGAAGTGAAATAAAAGCACATCACCGCCAAGTTCCCAGTAGTTGATGGTAAACCAGGTCAGGCTGTCAGAGGGGGATCTGTGAGCACGGCACGGAGGGAAACGTTTCGTAGTGCTTCTTCAAAACCAGATTCTCTGTTACAAAATTCAAATACAGTTGTGCTCCCAGTTAACACACAAAAGACGTTCATCTTCATATCAGTATATCAGATCATGGCACGAGTAGACACACTGAAACAGCACAGGAACACACAGAAGCACGCTACTTACAACATCAGCCCAGTCACATGACACAAACCCAGCAATCACCCCAACCATCAGAAGTCGTTCATGTACAGTATGTACAGAAGAGCAAAGGCGCTCGCTTTTTGAGTCATCTTTTATTAGTCAGGAAGGGAAAACTCAAGTCAAGTTCAAGTAGGTACATCTATAAAACACATTTGAGTTGTTCGTTTTTAAGTCCGTTCACATTGCAAGCTAAAGCTCCCAAATGCAATTTTCTGCCCAAATCAGGTTGTTGTCATAACCTTTTAACAAAATCTGATTCATACCAGATACTACCTTCACTGTTTTCTTGTGGCGTCATATTAAATTTCATGAAGTTACACAACCGTTTAAAAGTGTGGGGTCGGTACATTTTTTTTTTTCAGCAAGGATGCATTAAATTGAAGAAAAGTGACACTAAAGACTTAAATTAATACAAATAAAATAAAAAGCTGTTATAAGCAGCACAGATGTTTCTTAAAGGGGTCATATGATGAGATTTCAATTTTTCCTTTCTCTTTGGAGTGTTACAAGCTCTTGGTGCATAAAGAAGATCTGTAAAGTTGCAAAGACTAAAGTCTCAAATCCAAAGAGATATTCTTTATAAAAGTTAAGAGTCAGCCACGCCCCCCTAAAACGGCTCGTTCTAACACGCCCCCACATATCTACCTCACGATGTGGGAAGATTTGCATAATGCCGCCCAAATGTTCACGCAAAGAAAGGCGGCGTAACTTTTATTCTCGCTGTAGTATTGTTGCCGCCGCCGCCATGTCGTGAAGACGCTGTGTGCTTCGTTGTGAAAGCGAAACTCAAGCCCACCGCCTCTGCTCACTCTAGGCCACCGCCGCTCACTCTAGGCCGCCGTGTGTGACGCTGTGTGTTTCGTTGAAAACGAAATTACTTTGTTTGGCCTTCCAAAAGAGGACACAACTAGAAATCAGTGGTTAAGTTGTATTTACAAAACTATTCCAGAACACTTCAACCCAAATATTCAGATGTGTGCAGCACATTTTATAGAGGACTGTTTACTGATCCGGGAGAGTAACGTTAGACTACAATGCCGGCAGTTCTGACTCCATTATAATCCGTAATTATGTCCCCACTGGATGCAACAAATGTATCATTTATAATGGCTTTTCATGTTTTTGAATCGTCTCTCCGGCCGGACAGGGCATCACAGTATGGTAGGGGCGTAACATTTCCGTCACACGCTTGAGGTATTCGGCCAAT